CGTGGAGGATAAGTTTCTGGAACTTTCCACTGGACTGAGTATGATGCTATAAATCAGGGTGAAGAGTACAGGAACGAGAGCACACAAGTGAAGTCCCTGAGGAACCCAGGGTCAGAACCACAGCCATCACAGCCAGGAGCTCAGCCTCCTCCTCAGGCAGCTGGCTGAGGCTCACCCAGCCTGACGTGGCAGGGCAGGCATGCTGCCTGAGGAAAGATAGTCCCAAACCTCGCTGACAATCAAAGGAGCAAATGAGAAACAGAGAAACGTGTCTCCAAAGGAAGATACACTAGAAGGAAAATAGTTGTTGGAGAGTCAGTCGGCCAAATGTCTAACTGGAGTAGAGGGACATCTGACGCTCGTCACTATTATACTATAATAATGTAAGCATTGCTATTATCCCCATTGATGTGGTGATTGTCCCCATCACAGACTGCCAAGTGCAAGTTGCAAACACTTCGGAAACTTACACAGTTGGCAGCTGCTGGTCTGTAAGTCACTTCTCATAACCTAGACCCAGACCCTAGTGTTCCTGGTCTGCATGATATGGGAGAGACTCGGGCCCAGGGAAATTAGATCCTGCGGGTGATCTCAGAAGGGAAGAAGAAGACTCAGTCCTTGCATCCTGGGTAGAGTATGAGTGGCAGCTCTGTCCTTTACTGTCCACACAGCACCCCCTTTAGAGGACAGTGGCCATGGTAGGGAGAACGAGGGCTCCCAGAAGACCCACTTGCTGGAGTCTGTGAGTATGTTGGCACTTACATGCTAGGATATGGAGAAAGGGACTTTGTCCCCGTGATTGAAATTATGGATGCTGAACTGGGCGATTGTACTGGACTAGCGGCTTGGAGCCAATCTAACGTGTGAGTCCCTAGAAGTGGACCACTTTTCCCAGTCTGGAGGGAGAGGGAGGACAGTGGGAGAAGCTCACCGAGATGGCAAAGGACCTGCACTGTACAAAGGGCCTGGGGCACATGCAGAACCAGAGAGACTTCCAGCAGACCAGGAAGACCCCAGCTCATAGCCAGCAAGGGAATGGGGACCCCCCACCCTACAGCTGAATTACATTAAATTCTCTTGGCATCAAATGACCATGAAATGAATTCTTTCTGAGCATCTCCAGGAACAAGCAGAAATGGCCAGCGCCTGGGAGACTCGGGTGGGGCTGCAGATGAACAACCCGACAGGAAACAACTCCATGTTGGTTAAGTCCACAAGATATGAGCCAATTTGTTATAGTAGCAGCAGAAAACTAACACAAGGCAGGAGGTAGCACGTCTTATAACTCCTGGGACAGGAATTCTCCAGACAGGGGCACCCTGGGGTCTTTGCTCCTGGAGCACTCAGAGCGCACTTCGGCCCCATCACCATGAGACCAAGGTCAGATTTAACAGCTTCCATCTGAACAGGTCTGCAGTTTCTTGAAGAGTGAAAACCTTTACTTTTATGTCACTTGGGGTAAGACAAGATGCATTTGTGCAAAAGGAATAAGCCTAAGAAAGTAGAGAATAAGGATGCCGAAGATGTCCACTCCCTGCTTTCCAGAATCTGTAATATGGTGGCATTTACATGGTCTTACGGCATGAGGAGACTTGAGTGAAGAGGATGGTCTCATGGTGGTGACAGTATTCAGGGGTTATCCAGGAGGGTTAACCAGGCAGCTCTTTTGAGACATGGATATCAGCTTTAACAATCGTATCTCAAAATATAATGAAGACATTTGAGAGCTCGATGGAGGAGGTTGACACTGCAAGCTTAAAACTTGTAACACAAATTTGTTCCCATATGTCCTCTTATCTCTCCGGGGAAATTTTATTTAAAAAATAGCTGCTGAGCTTGTCACATTTACACTATGTGAACTAAACACCATAATGCTTGATGCTTTATATAGGTGTGTGTTTATATATAACTATTATATGTATACACACACACACACACACACACACCACGCACCTTTCTAGTCATCAGGGTATATGGATGACTGAGCCGAAGGTCATGTAAAGCTCCATGTAAAGAGGTAAAACTGAGAGATAATGAACAGGTCTGCTGTTTCTTGAAGAGTGAAAACCTTTATTTTTATGTCACTTGGGGTAAGACAAGATGCATTTGTGCAAAAGGAATAAGCCTAAGAAAGTAGAGAATAAGGATGCCGAAGATGTCCACTCCCTG